ATAAGAGAAAAATAGAATACATTTGGAGGAGGAAAATTGCCTAAATTAAAAAAAAAAAAAAAACTTTTTAAATTTTTTTTTTTTTTTAACAGAGGGATTGCACTGCAGTTTGGGGAGATAAGACTGAAGAGGCATCCCTCCTGAGTGCGCACTTAATGGACCCGGTGGCAGGCTGTCTGCATCACAGCTTTGTCCCTCGCAGGCGGTGCGTTCTAGAATTGGACACTGAGGGCAGGGACTGAAAGGGGAGGGATGCTGAAGGAGGAGTTGCGATCTATTGTTCGCCAGTAATAAGTGACGAACTATACCACCAGTGCCATTCGAAGCGCTCTGCCGTAGGAGTACCGACCATGAGTAGAACATGGTCTCGCTTCGGTTCTTTCACCACTATTCCTCAGCAATCGCTGTGTTCAGTCTCATGGGGCAGGGTTTTACAGAGATGTGTTTTTCTATTAGACAGAACACAGCGATTACAGAGTTCGGCCAGTAAAACATGCTGGTATTGGCATTACTGGTATTTTTGCAATATCGGCAGTGGCTACGGAGCCCAAAATACCAGCTTTACTGGTAAAATATCAGCAAGGTAGCAACGCAAGTTAAAATAGCCAAGCTGTGATTATAGCCTGTTTTAAACCTAATTCTTGCAATCCAATTTCAATTTTTTTTGATTCACCGTTTAGAGAATAAATCCTGACAGGTCTGTATAATCTAAATGTTTTTGTATTACCAAAAATATAATAAAAATATGAGGATAGGACTAATATACCTCCAAACATTGCAAGCTGTGAATGTGAGCTGTGGGAGGTGATGATTAACCCCTTAAGGACCAAACTTATGTAATAAAAGGGAATCATGACATGTCACACAGGTCATGTGTCCTTGAGGGGTTAAAGGGACTATGTCAGCACCAAAATCCCTTCATAAAGCGGTTTTGGTGCGTAGACTTGGTCCCTGTAATTTGGCAGTGTAAAAAAGATTTGAAGTTTCAGATAAATTGATTATCTAAGAGTAGCATCCAATGGGTGAAATATGGAGTTTGCTACACAAGCCCCCAAACATTTGTTGGGATTTAGGTATTTGAAGAGGTAAATGGTACAAACGTGTGTTCACTCCTAAATGGATTAAATTACAAAACTAAAAAGTTAGAGCGGAAGTGTTGATTCTGCAAATAATGTCTTCCACACATCAGACATTGGATTAGCATGTATTAATGAGGTCATGATTTTTGCACTAGAAACTATTACTGTCAATTAATTTATACAAGTGAAAATCTTATAATAAATTATCACTGCAGGTAGGATATACTTTTTGCTCCCAAAACCAGGGCTATTATTAGGTAGCAAAAGAGCAGTAATATCAGCATAATTGTATGACCCTTCCAAAATAAACCCCCACCCTAACCCACAACATATGTCCAAATTTAAAAAAGTAAATTCTATGAATCACATTATGACATCAGTCTGTATTACCACCACACCACCTGAGGCTTAAAATCCAACCTGGTTGCAGCTGCATCAAAATCTGTACCCAAAGCAATACCCCCACACTGTGCTGTGTAATTAACTCCCAATATGTTCTATTAAAAGAACAGTCCTATGGTAGCACTATAAACACTATAGCACCACCGTAGTGGTTATGGTGCCGTGAGTGTGCCCTGCCTCCCCTCCATTATTGAATGCAGTGAAGCCATTTAAAACAGTTTAACTTTTTACCTGTGATCTGGGGTGTCATCCTCGCCTCCACTTTGTCAGCCAGAACACTGGAAGCTCTTTGTCTGAGTTAATCTCTGCAGTGCTTGTTGGCTGAGAGTGATTAGCTGATATTCTCAGCCAATGAGCTAGCCATGCACCGCAGGGCTTGTCTGAGGACAGCAAATAGAAGTTCCTAAGCTTCCAGCTCTCTGACTGAGGTAGTTGAGCTAGGGAGCAGTGTTCAGCAGACCCCAGGTACATATTCAAACCATTATAAAATGGTTTCCCTACTTACAACAGTGAAACACCCAAAGTGTGCTGCGGTAGTTATGGTGCTTGGAGCATTCCCCTAAGAGGGATTCTGAGTTAAAGAAAGGAAATCTAACCGGGCTTCACAGGAACAAATTGTGAGTTCCAGCCTGGTTAGCCCTCCCTAGAAACTCCCCTGCCCAGAAGGGTTAAAAACTTAAAATTAGCATTACCTGGCTTCAAATCATTACCAATAAAGGGAATTAAGTGAGATACATGCCAATTAAAGGGCTACTCCATCCAAATATAAGTGTTTTCATAAAACACTGTTTATTGTTTACAGCACCCCTTGCTGTGCTGTTTTGTAAACAAAAAATCTAAAACTCACCTTGATCCAGACTCAAGCCCAAGTTCTCCCTGCAGCCCAATCCTCAACCAGAGGGTGTGGGATATCACAGAGCATGGGCTGATGGGAGAACATGGGGGCAAGTACCGTCATTGGTTGTTTAGACTAGAGTAGGCATTCTGGAATTGCCAGATTTTTACAGGATTTACACAAGACACCCAAAGTCTTGTTCCAGGCCCCAATGACGCGGCTGGAGGTAGAGTTCAGCAGCAGAGGGGTAAACTCTGTATGTGCTGACTTTCATAGCGAACACAGAGACTTGGAGTAACCCTTTAACTTGCCAATATTTTGTTTTTTTATTCATACGTATAAAAAGGGGTCTGGGCCACCCACATAAAGTCAAGGTTATTTCCTACAGTGAGAATTTAAAGTGAATTTTAAATTTAAGGCCAGATTAGCCGATCTGGAACCATCACTGACTTAGAAATATTTTCCAGTTTGACTCCTTGACCTTAAATTCACTTTAAATTCAACATGTATTTGCACATTTAACTAGAAAGCAAAACTTAAAAAAATTATCTAGAAATCTCGAAGGAAGCAATTACGAATTGTAATCTAATAAATAGAAAACATATCCAATTCTTTACGTGAGTACTGGATCTTTTGTCTTTGCATTGGATTATAATTCGCCTACTTGGATCTTCACAGCACCATGTTTATCTATGCTTCCCCCCATATTGTCAAAGGCCGTGTCTGTTTTGTATCAATTGACAATTAAAGTGACAGATGCAAACAATTACAATGTGACAATGCTACATGAATACAGTGAAATAGAAATAATGTGGAGGATTGTATAGTTGCAGTGAGGAAATTATTATTATTATTATTATTTTATTATTTATATAGCGCCAACAAATTCCGTAGCGCTGTACAATGGGAAATGCCAAGTTTATTCCTGAAATGAAACTTTGCTATATAAAAACAAATCAAGAAAACAAAGATTAATTTTTTGTCAAGCCTGTTTTGCATTCGACTCACTGTTATATTATCTGTATAACAGAAATATTTCTTAAAACTTAACCATATGGATAGATACCCTTATTTGTATGATAGTCTTAAAGGGTCACTCCAGGCACCAAAACAGCTTCATCTAAATTAAGTTGTTATGGTACCTGGATTGTCCCTTGGAAAAGGTACTTTTCTCTCAAAGACAGTTTTGTGAATGGGTATTCACTGATTGGCTGAGAGTGTCAGCTGACTGCTCTCAGCCAATCAGCGGCGCCCTTGCCTGGCGGCACTCCGAGCTTCCTGAAAGTGACATTTCAGAAGCCAGATGCTCCCTTGGAGGGGACTGGAAATTGGCACTGGAGGCAACTTTGGGGTTAAAGTGTTTTAAGAGAATTGGTTAATCCCTTAAAGTAAGAGTGCGTCGGTAGGCTTCCTGGTACCATAACAACTTCATTTAGATTACTTTTTTTGGTGCCTGGAGTGTCTCTTTAATATACCCTTGTCCATTTGCCTTTTACCTTACCTCTCAACATTTCAAATGGTCAAAGTGGGAGAATTTTTATTTTAGGGATGTGAGCGGGGCTGTGGTCAGTGCAGGGTATCGGAGGAATAGGGCAGGGTTTTTTGGGGACTTACTAATAATTTAAGCAACTAAAATGTAATTTAGAACAAGAACAATGTTTCTTATTTACGATTTCTATTATAAATAAATAATAAAATCTGTTATAAAAAAGTAATCATTTATTATAATTTATACACACATTGCTGTGAGTATTATTGCAGTGGAGCTCTGTGATATACTCAGATACACCAACAATATGGAGATTCTAGAAAAACGGTCTAGAGGGATGTGGGACCAAAATAGGGACTGTCCCTCCTATATAGGAACACTTGGGATGTATGTTTCACTGATAACCCTAAATTTTACCATAGGTTTGCATAGCCTATATTACTTCCTAGTTGCAATTGTTATTAGGCTTCTGAAAACATTATTTGCATTATAGGATTATTGATCGATTCAAAATAATATAAAGCACGCGCGTATGCATTTATCCCCTTGTGTTTTAATAATTGTTTAGACCTACTTTGTGTTAAAATCCAGGAAAAATCTATGTGAAAACTACATATTGTTTGAGTGTATCCTATTCACCAGCAGAGAAGCAGACCTACTTATTCCAATTCTCACTGATTTCTATGCAGTAACAGGGAAGCAATACATAGCCATATACATAATTACTGAATTAAGAAAGGTTTAGAATAGCTAAACAGATATTTTATCACAGTGGATGTCAGATGTAATAAAATTGAGCCATAATATATAAATAGCAAAATAACACTGCTATCAACACAAAGGCAGGGTTATATTTCATAATTTGCAAACTGTTGTCATTATTTATTGTTTATTATTACAGAAAATAAAACAAACATGTAATATAGCCTTGCTGTCTAATATATTGTAATTAAATTATTATTTAGTGAATCTCCAGGCGTATGTTGTTGGGGCAAATATTTAGCAACTTTGACCAGAAGTACAGCCTTAATCAAAAATATTCAACAACCATTGAAAATCAGATTTATTGTCAACATTTACAGACTTTCAGCTGTTTGCAATGAACAAATCATACAGAAGCAATTGAAACACAACAAATGTTTCAAGTGGTTTCCTCAAATTTAACTGAAAATGCTACTTATAATGTCTTCTCCAGGCTTAAAATTATTCAACCCCCTGATTAGAATCCCTCACAACAGCACAAATATGCAAATCAGGTGCTGTCTCAAGCACACCTGATGCAACTAATCAAGGGCTTTATTAGTTGCACAGGTGTGCATAAGCTGGAACACTTGAAATACCTGTACTGGCTAGGAGTTTGTTGACTGTCACGTTTGACTGCATGTTAGAAATAAGTCAAAATAATGTTATGAGAAGAGATCATCGCCCTTCACAAACAAGGAACAGGATACAAAAAGATAGCGAAGGCACTGAATGTTCTTAGAGGCAATGTTGGAAGCAAAGTTTGAAAGTTCAAAGTTGAAGGAACAGTGGTTATACTACGTGGACAGGCAGAAAAAGGAAGTTCTCAATGGCTGCAACCAGATTACTGAGAAGGCAGGTTGTAAAAACCCTTGAGTAACTGCAAAAGACCTGCAGCAAGACTTGCTGACAACAGGCACTAAGGTTTCAGTGAGCACAGTAAGGTGCGTACTAAACACAGAAGGTTTCCATGCCAGAACTCCAAGATGTACACAACTACTGACCAAATAGCACAAGAAAAGTTGTCTCCAATATACTCAAAATCATATAAATAAGCCACACAAGTTTTGGGATTTTGTTCTGTGGAGCCATGAAACATAACTGGAACTTTTCGGGCCAATGGATCAGTGGTATGTCTGGAGGAAGAAGAATGAAGCATACCCTGAAAAAAACACTCTGCCTACAGTTATGTACTGAGGCTGCATTGCTTCCTCTGGCACTGGAAACCTACAGCGTGTGGAAGGCAAGGTGGATTCATTGAAGTATCAGGAAATCCCAGGAGAAAACGTCCGTCTGTGAGGAAGCTGAAGCTCTGGCGTCATTGGATCTTCCAACAAAACAATGATCCAAAATATGCCTCAAATTCCACCAAGTTTTGGTTGCAGACATAGTCCTGAAAAATACCACAGTGGCCATCATAGTCACCTGACTTGAACCCCATAGATTTTATAAAAAACTACTTATTTATATGTTAGCATTTCAACATAATACACACACACAGAAATAATGCATTTTCCTTTAATAAAGCAGCTTTCTGAATGCCAGCCCGTTTTATAGATTCCAGTAAGTCTTCAGTGCAATTAGGTAAAGTATAATTCTAGCATTTCATTTTATTCAATGGTGGTTGTTAACTATTATTCCTGCAACTCAAAATACTATCTATAATATGGAGGTACAAACAGCAGTTGTGATGCCAAAGGCTTTTGAGCAACAGGTGTTAAATACATTGTAGTCCAGTGTTGTACCCTTTGTAAATGTAAATTCTTACATATTTTTGTTTCCTGAACATAATATTTGTAAATATTTGAGATTTCAAATCTAAGTATCAAGGTCACGAGGGAGAACATTTTTCTGTATGTGAAATGTAGGGTTCCAAAACATAAATATTATTTGTTTATTTTGAGAAGCTGTAATTACACATAATTGGAATAGCCTTCCAGCTGAAGTGGTAGAGGTTAACACAGTAAAGGAGTTTAAGCATGTGTGGGATAGGCATAAGGCTATCCTAACTATAAGATAAGGCCAGGGACTAATGAAAGTATTTAGAAAATTGGGCAGACTAGATGGGCCGAATGGTTCTTATCTGCCGTCACATTCTATGTTTCTATGTAATTGGCTAAATCTTAAAGGGACACTATAGGCGCCCAGACCACTTCATCTCAATCAAGTAGTGTGGTTACGTTGCTGCTGTCATTTTAGCCCTGCAATGAAAAACACAGCAGTTTCAGAGAAACAACTGTGTTTTTATTTTATTTATTTATTTTAGACTAACTCCACCCCTAGTAGCCGTCTATCAGGCAGCTACTAGATGGGGCTTCCTGGTTAGCAACTGAGTAAAACTCTGTTATTTGACGTTCAACGTCCTCACATTGTGAATGAAGACGTTTAAAGTCATCTATATTCAACGCTGGCAGCTCTGATGTGAGTATGCCTGCATTGAAACCTATTACTGCAGAATCCCCATAGGAAAGGATTGATTCAGTGTTTTCCTATGGGGAAAGCTTGAATGTGCACAGCACTCCCTGTGCGTGCACAATAGGTCCCCAATGCTCCTCTGCTGGCAGAAAGCGCTGGGGCAGTTTTCAGCGAGGAACAGTGGACAAAATGTTTTATTCTGAAACTTCAAAGCACTAGCTCCTCAAAAATACAGAGACAATTTACAAGCTCCTAGCTCAGCCTAGCTCTTGTTGGTGACGTGGGACTGTAGAGGGTGTCCTTCATATTTGGTGTGAGTGTTCGGAGATAATATGATTATGGATGAGCAGTGGCGGCTCTAGACTTTATGAGGCCTTAGGCGAAACTCAAACAAGAGGCCCCCCCCCCACTAACACTCATAAAAAAAAAAAAACATAGGGGTTGCATCGTGTGTATAATGAGCTGTAGTTATAATGTATGACAGGCTTGAAGCGCTGGATACAGAGAGCTAGTCTCTGTATTCACTGTTGGGGTGAGTGTGGCATGGTTGAAGGAGAAAGTGTGACAGGGCGAGGGGAGGTGAGAGTGACAGGGTGAGTGTGGCGTGGCTTGGCAGGATGAGTGACAGGATAGAAGTTAATGTGATAGGGTGAAGGGGGATGAGTTTGACAGGGTTATGGGTTATGTGTTGCACGGCTGGAGGAGGGAGTGTGACAAGGCGAGGGAAAGTGAGTTGGACAGGATTATGTGACAGGGTGAGTGTGGCATGGTTGGGCACAAGCGAAAGGGTTAATGTGAAAAAGGACGAGTATGACAGGGTTGGGGGTGAGTGTGACAGTATGAGAGAAAATGAGTGTGATAGGATTAGGGGGATTAATGTGATAGGGTGAGTGTAGAAGAGTGAGGGTCGGTAATTGTGGTATGGATGGAGAGGGTGAGAGCAA